CAAAAGATGAGATGAACATCACCCTCCCTTTGTTTTTGCTGGTATACTAACATTTCTGTCTGTCTATTTGCCTGTCTGTCAAGCTCCCTGTCTATCCGTCTAGCTCTCTGTCTCAGAGAGCCACAAGACTGCGTCATCACTTTTACTCACATCTTCAAGCAGAGTATAGCACTTTGTCTGGGTTTCTTGGGTTATCCTAGGTAATTTATACTATGTATACTTGTATTTATGTGTACCTGTGAGACAGAGATAGACAGACAGATAGAAAGAGAGAGACAGATTGAAAGATAGAATGAGGGAGAAAGATAAAACACCATTGTGTATGACACCATGTTTCAAAGAGTTCCACAAGCTGCAGAACTAATAGGAATATGTTCAGTGACTGTATATTGGTATATATATTATAGAACAATAATAATAAACAATGTTTTGTATTGTTTGTTTTTGTAAACAAGTTTTGTAAACAATATATTGAAAATTATGTTTGTGTGCTTATTGTGTTGTATACAACGAGTGTATATATGTACATTGCACCTTACTTTGGTCTCACAGGCCACATAAGTTATGTGAAAAAATAAAATAGTGAAAAAAACAACAAACCTTCAAATACAAGTAAACTAAAGTTTACCGGGTGAGCGGCAGTCGCTGCTGTTGCCATACGCGGCTCATTTTCTGCAAACTTCATGCATCCATATCTCCGTAAGTATTGAATGGTAAATTTTTTTTGTTTATCCTATAATGTTTAGAGAAAAAAAACTATTTTTTCATAAGGAAAATTTTTTTTTTTTTTTTTTTGAAATTTGGCCGACCCTGAGAACGAGTTTCGGAGAGGGCCTGTCGACCCTCAAAGGGTTAAAGTGATCCTTCCAAAACTCTAAAAGAGTCAGTTGAGTTTCTGTGGTCACTACAAAGCACTTTTGAAACATAGCTTTTGTGTACAGTTTCTTGGGCTGCAGGAGAGGAGTGGTATTAGGAGGCAAAAATTTCTCGTAAATTTTGCATATTTCATTTCCTTTTTGGCTGATATGATTGAAACTTCAGCACAGGATACTCGATATAAGCTTCTAATAGTACACCAAAAATGAACGTAATCGGTTGAAAAATAAAGAAGTCGATATGTTACACCTGACCTCCCCCTTAAGGGGGGTGACTGGGCCAACGCAGATTCATACATGTTTTCTCTGGTGCTGGACAAGGGAAAACGTAACTTTTCCCTCCGCCCGACTACCACCCCTCTGTAGCATATAAACATTGCATGTTTATATGCTATGTAATGTGTTTCTTATATAATTTTGAAGAAAATATCATAGATGGATTAATGAAATGTCATTATTAATGTAAGACATTTAATGTGCCCAAGAGTGATTATTGTTATGTATTAGTATTATTACTATGGCATTAAGACTAGAGGAACACTTAGTGATTTTAATATGTACCTGCAAAAGAACCAAGGTGACGAACAAGAACTGGGACAATATTTTGACAAAAAAAAGTTTTCGAAAACCAAATTCGTCAAAAACTAGGGCAAATGAAAACCAAGGTTCCACTGTATTAGTATTGTTTTATTTTATACACTGGTTCTCAGGAACGTAACCTACATGCTAAATAAGGGTCTACTATACAAAATGTATGTAAAGCCATTCTTGTTATCAAACTAATATGTGGAAATACTTCAATCAATCAAGTTTATTATCTATAAGGATTACAATGCGGGGTTTACAGATTTTGGTTATTGTGTGGTTTACATGTTATAAAATACTAATTACAGAGGGGGCCGCTAGGACACCTAGCATGGCTGGGCATTTCGGGCAGACTTTGATTAATTCTTAACTCTAAATTATTACAAATTATGGAGTAAGTTGGTATTATGGCTAAGTGACTAAATCATAGTTTTTGAGTTCAGCAATGTGAATGCTTTTGTTTTGGCACAATACATAGTTTCTATATTGGAGTATCACAGGCAAACTTATGACTAGTTAGGATTCATTATTTTAAGATTAAGATTCATATTTCTGTGTTTACAGTCAAATGGGTGAGTGAGTGTAAGTGTGAACCACCAGGTGGTTTTCATGTAATTAGTTGGCAGGGTGTATCAGGGAGACGAGATGTTTTCTAATGGTAGTTTTGAAGGTGAACATTAAAATGGTATAAAATACCGACAGGTTGTTAGGTAAGACACATATGCAACAGTTAGGTATCTTTATTTCGAAACGTTTCGCCTATGCAGTAGGCTTCTTCAGTCGAGTACAGAAAAGTTGATAGAAGCAGAAGATACTTGATGATGATGTAATCAGTCCATCACCCTTGAAGTTTTGAGGTGGTCAGTCCCTCAGTCTGGAGAAGAGTATTGTTTCATAGCCTGAAACAATATGGAGTTGAAGTGACAGGATGGAGCCTATATATCGCCAGGAGGTGAGATGTAGGTCACTAGTAGAGGCAAGAATGTTAGTCGTTGGAAGGTCAGGTCCCTATCAAATCCAGCTGTAAGAATGTTGTCATTGGAAGGTCAGGTCCCTATCAAATCCAGCCATTCTCACTAGTAGAAGTTGACAAAGTTGATTGCAGGTCTGTACCAAGATACCCTTGTGGCCTACATCTCGCCTCCTGGCGGTATATAGGCTCCATCCTGTCACCTCAACTCCATATTGTTTCAGGCTATGGAACAATACTCTTCTCCAGACTGAGGGACTGACCACCTCAAAACTTCAAGGGTGATGGACTGATTACATCGTCTTCAAGTATCTTCTGCTTCTATCAACTTTTCTGTACTCGACTGAAGAAGCCTACTGCGTAGGCGAAACGTTTCGAAATAAAGATACCTAACTGTTGCATATGTGTCTTACCTAACAGTTTTGAAGGTGATGAATGTGTCTAGAGTTTTCAGGTAGGGTGTTCCAGATTTTTTGGCCTTTGACATACATTGGATTTTTGTAAAGGTTTAGTTGGACACGGAGAATGTCATAGAGATGTTTGTGTCTGGTGTTATGCCTGTGGGTCCTGTCACAACTATTAAGAAAGCATTTTATTAGGTCAAGGTTAATATTGGAATTTAAGGTCCTGTAGATGTAGATTGCACAGTAGTAAGTGTGGATGTTCTGAACAGGGAATAAGTTTAGATCTATGAAGAGTGAGGGAAGTGTTGCCAGGGATGGGATTTAGTGATTCATACTGCGGCTTTTTGTTGGGTTATTATTGGCTTCAGGTGTGTTGCTGCAGTTGATCCCCAAGCACAAATAGCATAGGTGAGGTATGGATAAATGAGTGAATGGTATAGTGTGAGAAGGGCATTTTGTGGCACGTAGTATCGCATCTTGGAGAGGATCCCAACCATTTTGGATACTTTTTTTGTTATGTGTTGGATATGGGTGCTGAAATTCAGGTTGTCAAGGTATAGGCCTAGGAATTTGCCCTCATTATGTTTGGCAATTAGTGTGTTGTTGATCTTAATGATAAGTTGTGCAACACCTACTCTGCTACCAAACATAATATAGTAAGTTTTGCCAGTGTTAAGTGTAAGTTTATTGGCTGTCATCCAAGTCGATATTTTGAGCAGCTCCTCGTTAACAATGGTGTTGAGGGTGGCAAGATTAGGGTGAGAGATGACATAAATCGTGTCGTCAACAAAGAGAATGGGTTTCAGGTGTTGGGATACGTTTTGAAGATCATTGATGTAAATGAGGAAGAGCAGAGGACCAAGGACACTTCCCTGCGGAACTCCAGTATCAAGTGGCCGTGTTGATGATGCTGTGTCTTTAATGGTGAAATACTGATACCTATTAGTAAGGTAGGATTTGAAATATGCAAGTGCATGGCCTCTTATACCATAATGGCCAAGTTTGTGGAGTAGGATGCCATGGTCTGTGTCAAAAGCTTTTCTTAGGTCAATAAAAATTCCTAGCGGATATTCATTATTTTCCAATTCTGTGTAAAGGAGATCTAGCATTTTTACAATTGCATCATTAGTGCTTTTATTTTTCCTGAATCCAAACTGGCAGGGGTTGAGTATGTTTTGTGCTGTTATAAATGAATATAGTCTCCTGTGCACGAGTTTCTCGAAGATTTTGGATAGCAATGGTAAGTTTGATATTGGCCTATAGTTGTTTACATCTGTAGGGTCACCACCTTTAGGTATTGGTGTAACCCTTGCTGTCTTGAGTAGTGCTAATATACTAAGTTCATTTAGGCACAGGTACACAAATACAATTATCATACATAGTGTAAATTACCTAGGATAACCAAAAAAAAGTCAAAGTGACTTATTTCCTTTGGGGGTTTTCCTTTTGAACTTTTTTCCTTTAAATGAAAAAAGGGCTTTTGAATTTAAAAACCAGGGGCTGTACGGTTATGAAAACATTTTTGAAAACCCACATACAAATTTAAACATTTCCTTTTGTACCTTATTTTACTTTTAGTAGGTTAGAGACAGCACCATCCAGGGAGGTCCCTTACTTTCTTTTTATATAATTTACAGATGCTTTTTTAAATTTTTTTTAAAAATACTGGCAGAAACTGCTAATCTTTTTTTGCTTTCCCCAAATATGTGGGGTAACAGGAAAACCCTTTAAAAATATCTATTTTTAAACAGAAAATATGCATTAATCTTTAAATTTCTTTTTGTAGTTTTTAAATTTATTTCTATTCCAGTAAAATTTTCTTTTAAATTTAAATTCCTGATCTGGGGACTACCCTACAGGGCAAATGACCCCCATCAACAAAAAAAACAGACAAGGGAATAAAGAATCCCCCCAATGTTTCCCTTTATTTTCTGATAATTCAAAATAAAACAGAACTATGAAAATTTCTAAAATGCCCTTTTTGCCATAAGTACAACCCCATAAAAAAATGCAACCAACCAATTTTCTACATGCCCAAAAATTTAAAAACTAGAAAACACTTTGGGGCAAATAAGATGAATCTGCCGGAAAAAAAAATTTTTTCTACATGAAGTGAAAAAAACCCATCAAAAAAACCCCACCCTTTGCATGGAGTACAGCGGGATCCCTGAAAAAAAACATTAGGGAAGTCCTCCACAAAACCCCAATTTTTCATTTTTCCCTTTTCCCCACAAAACCGCTTCTTATTTTTGCTACTCCCCATAAAAAAGCCCCAAAAACGGTTTTGGGTCGGGACTGGTGATCTCACAGTATCTTCGGGAATCCGGGAAATTTTCTACAAGCAATTAAAAAATAAAGAAAATACAGATTCAACATTTAAAAATTTCTGACATTTTTCCCAAATAATTTTATTTTTTTTTTTTTATTAAACTTCAGAAATTTTTCCCCCCAAAGGTAGGGACCCTAAAAAAGAAAAAACTTCCACCATATTCATTCCATAAAACTGTCTTCCCAAAGGAGGTTTTGCTTCCACTACAATTAAAAACTGCAATTTTAAACCCCCTTTCTTTAGATTTGCAGGCACTGTATTCCCCATTTTAAGGGGAGGGCAAGCCCTTGAGATGGGAAGAAAAAAAGCCTCTCCCCCAAAGCTTTGTCAAGCCCTTTAAAACCTTTGGGGTTTTCCCCTTTGTCCTAACTAACACACTCATGCATGCTTCCCGGGAAGTCCAAGCCTCCCCCGCAAAAACAAAACCTCCTTTAGCCCTTACCCCCCCCAACCCTTTTTTCCTTTGGCTGACCTCAACCCCCCCTTTCCCCCTCCACTCGATTTATAAACTTTCGAAGTCTTTCTATTTTTTTTCCAAACCCCCCCCCTTACTGTCCAAAAACCACCCTAAAAAACCCCTCCTCACCCTCTGGAAAATTGTTTTGGGGTAACCCGGGAACCCTCCTCCTAACTTCCAAACTACAAATTTCTCGGGCATTATATTCACACCAAAATTGCCCTCAGAAAAATTTGACACCTCCCCCGCCCCCACCCCCTTTCTTGTTGCAACATTCCCCAAACCCCTGCTCTGAAACCAATACAAGAGCATTGGTTTTAAACTACACTCATACTTTCCCCTCTTAGCTTCCAGGGAACAAAGTTCTTTGTCTCCACAGACTCCTGGGTGCAACACTCCCCTTTTTTTTCCCCCCCTTGTCATTCTAGGTTTTCCCCCTCACCCTTTCACAGACCCATTTTCTACCCCATCCCCTCCTAAATATCTAAAATACATTCTCCTCCCCATACCCTCCCCCCCCAATCTAAAAACCCCAATCTTTCGTTATCAAAAATTTTTTTTTTTACCCTCATCCCCTTTACTTTTTTCCTTATCCCCTTTTAAATTTTTTTCTTTTTACATATCCTACCAAATACCACCCCCCCTTTGAAACCCCCTTCTCTTCAAAATCTCCAAAAAGAAGTATCATCAAAAAGAGAAAAACTGGGGAAAAACCCCCATTTGGGTTTTTGGTTCTTTTTTCTTTTTAAACCCCCCAAAACCTTTTGCCCACCCGAGCATTCACTTCTCTTAAAAACCCCATTATAAATATACAGGGGGGACCCACTTATATAGAAGGTTAGGTTCCAGGCTAACCGCGGGGAAAAAAAAAAGCCTTTTTTTTCCACTTAAAAAATGCATTTAAATGCCAGATAACAATTTACATTAGCATATTTTAAGTTAGAAATTTAAAAACGGGGGCTTAAAAACAATAATAAGAAAAAACCCACACACAGTCACTCATTATTTCCCTTTAAAAAAAATTTTAGTCTTAATGTAGGGTGGGGGGGGAAAAAGTCACATTTATTTTTGGGAAGTCAAGGGGGGAGGTATATTAGCCAGCCAGGTCGGGCCCCCCCACCCCCCCCCCCACCCCACCCACCCGAAATTTATACTACGACTTTTTAACCCTTTAAACTGCCCAAAAAGTAGTCTACTTTTTGGCTCTTTATTATTATAAAAATAAAAAAGGAAGCGCTAAGCCACAAGGGCTATCCGCGCTGCGGGTAGGGAAAAGGAAGGAGGGATGGAAGGGAAAAGGGGGAAGAGGGGATATCAGCGGGTTTTACAGAAAAAAAGGGGGCAGGGGGGGAATAGTAGGGGGAAAGAGGGTACAAGAGATTGAATAGAAAGGGCTTAAGGTATCAGAATTTGGGGGAAGGGTAAGTGGGTTTTGCTGTAAAAAAATCAATGAGAGACCCGGGAATGAAAGGGGGACCCAAATCGCGAAAAGGGGAAAAGGTAGAGAGAGAGACCCCAAGCAAGCGAAGACGACACGGAGGTAAATTCGGGTTGTTCGTTGAAAAAGTGGGCAAAAAAGGGAAATGTGGCACTGAAAATTGGAATTTTGGGAAATTTCTCTCAGGGGAGCAGGGCCCTCTCTATGAGATACCCCAAGAGAAAGACAGTATGGCCAATGCGAAAAACGGGAGAAGTAGTCTCCCAACCTGGGACACGGGTGATAAGAAGAGGGCCCGTAACCTATACTGGGGTTTAAAATAGAATTAAAATTTGTTGCCGAGCATAGAAAAACCAAGTTGTTCCCCAACGGGGTGAAGTTGGGAAGATATTGAAGCAAAAAACCCCGTAAAGGGAAATTTACCTTCAAAAAAAATGGAAAGGCCCAGGAACGGCTGACCGGGGCAGCAGTTTTCTACCTGTTCATTGCCCTGTACGCCCAACATGACCAGGGACCCAAAAAAAAAAAATTTTCCTTTATGTTTGGTTTAAAGTGGGGGCGTACCCAAAATTTGGATACGGGGGGACTAAGGGGTGGGGGTTTGTATAAAAATTTCGGGTATACCCGAAAGCACTAAGGGAGTCTGAGACAACCACAAATGATGACACGGCATAGAGGGCAATACGGATAAGTGCTGTAAGGATGGCATAAATTCACCCAGAAAAAATATACCAAAGAAAAGAAAAAGGGCCCTTGTCACGCTGCCGGGAAAACACTGCTGCGAATCCTACGCCGTCAAAAGGGGACTTAAAACCCATCGTGCACAAGAAAGGGCATGAGAATTAAGTAAAAGTGGTCAAAAAAAAAGAGGGGGGAAGGGGCCCGTGACAGTTGGGCTTTCGAGAAAGGGGAAAGAGAGAAAGAACAGACTCGAACAGCGGGAAATTCCCAAGGGGGTGGGGAAAAAAAAGATTTTAAAATTACGGGAAAAAGGGTTGGAAATTAAAGAGAAGCCCAAGAGCAAAAATGAAGGCGAAGAGAGAAGGGAAGGATTTAAACAGGGGGGGCGAACAAAAAAAAGGGAATGTCTACAAAAAACATTGACCTTTCAAAAATGGAAGGATTGGGGGAGATCATGAGGGAACAAAAGTACAAAGGCAAGGGGCTTTCACGGCGATGGAAATAAAAAGGAAGGGTTCCCCTTCTGCATGGGGCTTCTCGACGGGGAAGAGAAAAAAAGCCCAAGGCATAAAGGGAATCCTTGGGAAAAATTTGGGGTTAAGGTTTAGAGAGAGAAAAGGCAGGAATCCCGCTGAATAATCTGGTCCCCATAATAAAGTTTCGAAAAAAGATAAGGGGGGAATGTAGGCGAAAGGGGGTTTACAAAGGGATCAGCTCCCCCTGAAAAAAAGAGAAAGGGGTTTTAAAAGAAGGTTAAACCCGGCTGTGAAAATTTTCCCTTTCAAGAGGAAATGTGAGGTTTCCAGGAAAACCTTTAACGATAAAAGGGAGGAGGCCCAGAAACTTGATGTATCATGTTAAAGGGAAAACGGGAGCCTTTAAGGTAAAAAAGGATAAACGGAAAAGACAGAGGGCCCTATTGAAAGAAATTTGGGGGGTTTTTAAAGTCCCGGAAAAAATTTAAAAACCCCCCGGGGTTGGGGGCCCCAATTTGGAAACCCAGGGCCCGACGCATGTTTGGAGAGAAGAAATGTAAGGTGACAGTCAGCCCCTCCCACAGGAAAATTGGGCGAAGTCTTTAAAACATGGGTTTAAAGCCCAAAATTTTTGTTGGAAAACTAGGGGCCCAAAAACATTAATAAAGGAAAAAAGGGGTTGTGCTCGAACAACCCCCGGGGACAACCCCCTTTTGGATAAAGCCCCGGGGAGAGCAAAATTTTTTAACCCCAAACCCTGGGAAATCCCTGCCCATTTTAAAAATTTCCCTTTAAGGAAGGTTGGAAAATTTGGGCCCCGGGGCCTAAGGAGTGGGCGGGGGTAAAATATTGTACCCCCAGTTGGCCATTGCCTTTTTAAAGGGTAAAAAATAAATAGGCAAAAAACCGAGGGGTTATTCGCAAACATTACAAAACATACAATCCAAGCAAAAGATAAAAAAAGGGAATTTCTTTTCGGATTTTTAAAAACCCCGGGATTTTTTAGCCACCCAGGATAACCCAAAAAGTCAGTGCGCATCAGGATGCCCTAACTTTTTTTTCCCTTTGGGGGGGTCCTTAAATCTTGTCCCCCAGGATGCGACCCACCCCAGCCACTAACACCCGGGTACCTATTTGCTGCTAGGTGAATAGGTAAACCAGGGGAAAGGGGGAAAAACTTGGGGGAAATTTTTTCCCACCCGCCCGGGAACCCAAACCCCCGGGGCCCTCCTGGGGAAAAAACGGGACCCTTTTGGGGCCCCCACCGGGGCCAGGGCCATGGTCAAATTGGTAGAAGTCCCTTACGAAAGCCATTTTTGACGAGTGGAGAAAAACTGTTGTGTGCTCTAAATTTACCACACTAAAAGCTATTAACTAGGGTTCCATCATTTTTGCAAACTGCACTGGTAAGACCAATGGGCATGGGGGGAGGTTTAAAGCCCCGTAGGCCGGGTTTGCAAAAAAGGGAAAAAACAAGCCGGACTTCCACAGTGGGGAAAAACTCATTGGGGAACCAAATAAATTGTAAAGGCTAATAACTGCAAGGGGCTGACTGATGAAATTGTTTGCATACAATATAAAATGTCGGGGGGCCCCAGCTGCCGAAGATCGGAAAAGGAGAGTGTTGCCTCCTTTTTGAATTTGAAAAAAGGACACATTAAAACCGGGTTTTTTCTAAAGAGAAAAAAAGCCCAAAGGGTTTGTAACTCTCGGGCGGATTTTGAGGAAAGAAATGGGGGGGAAATAGAGGAAATTTCCCTGAGAAAAAGGGACCAATAAATTCCCAAATTTTTCATTGGCAACAATAGGGGGTTTTGCAAATATCACACCGGCAACCCCAGAACAGGGCCGGGTCGGAAAATTTTTTACCACTCAGTTTTCGTATTTTTTTTTCCCGGGGACTGAAATTTCCTTTGAGGAAGCAGGGGTGTTGGGGGAGACTAAAATCTCGCTGGCAATGGCTTTTAGCGTCCCCGGAAATGCAAGGGCGACGATGGGCACGCTTCTGTTTAAAAAACCCAAGAAGCCCTTCTCTGGGGTTTTCTTTTTTAAAAAACCGGTACCTCCCCCATGCGCGCGTTTCAAACGACTGCACGGAAAAAACCCGGAGACCCCCAAAGGGCACCATTTCTGAAAAGGGCCTGCCCAAAGTTTGGGGTAAAAAATTTGAAAAGCTGGGGTTTTTTAAAAAGAGGACGAAAAGGGGTGAAAAAAGCTATCGATGGAGGAAAAGGAAGGGAAAACCCCTTTTTTAAAAACGTTAGGTGGAGAAAAGGGTTTCCCAAATTTGCCTGTTTAAAAATTTGCCAGCGTGGGGTGCGAAGAGGTGGCAAATTTTAAAAAGGGGAAAAAGAAAACAATGTTTGGGGAAATGATCACTGTCATGTAAGTGGGAGAACAGACCAAAATTAAAAGTCAAATGCGGCGGAGGAAAAAAGCAGACTGAGAAAAAGATGCAAGAAAGAGTAGGGTCCGAGGATAAAAAAAGGGGGTTGTGAGTACCTGTTTTTAAAAAACTTGGAGGGGGTGGGGGGCAAGAAAACCCTTTAAAAACGGGGAATTTTCCAGGGGAATCACGTGAGACCCCCCCCCCCCAGGGGAAAGGGTTTGGGCTTTTAAAAATCCCCAAAGTAACAAAAATGGGTTGGGGGTTTAATTTGGCAAAAAAGGGAAAGGGCCCAATATCCGGAATAGATAATGCCCGAGAAAGGAGGGAGTTTATAAAGAAAAAGGGGAAAAAACCCACCTATGAAAGGTGGAAAAGGGGTTGTGAAAACGCACCCAAGTATAAAACAAATAGCTGATGGTACGGAAAATCAGTGCGTGGGAAGAAGGGCACTTTCATTAAAGGCCATCGGGGAAAAAGGTTTCTGAAAAATTAAAATAAATTATAGCCTGAGATGTGGGGAAATAAAAAGCAGAGTGTAATTTTGGGTTTCCCCGAAAACCCAAACACCAACGGGGGCAAACTGGGGGGAGTAACATCGAAGCTAAACCCATTACCCAAAGGCCCGCGTTTATTCCACTGTAAAAAAAGGCCACATTGGCAATGATAAAATATTTTAAAAACCCGAGGTAAGGGTTCCTAGGGAAGGGGGGTTTAAAAAAGTCCCATGGGGAAAGGCCCCAGGGAAAACTTTCAAGCGCGAAGGAACAGGCACTTAAAAAAGGGAGTTGCGCAAAGGAGCAGGGGAAGAGAGAAAGAGGGGAAAGGTGGAATCATTGTCCTTTTGGGGTTTTGGGTTTCCCCCTGAAATTTAATTAAAGAGTTTTGCTTCAAGGTTTCGGAATTCAGAGACGTCGTATGGGAAAAAAATTTTTGGGAAATGGTGGGGGGAGGAAATGAGAAAAAAAGGGAAAAACTGTTTTGGGACGTACCAAGGTAGGGGGGGGGGGGGGGGGGGAAAAGGGTAGGGGGGAAAAAAACAAAAGAGGAAAGGAAACCCTGGGAGGTGGCAAAGGGGGAAGAAAATTGGGGGGAACCCAGGGGGGGAAGGGTTTACGGGTACGGGGGGAAAGGGGGGTAAAAAACCTCTAACACTTGAAACTGGGGCCAGTGGAGGGGAAAAAGAAACCAGGGACAAGCCAGGGGGGGGTTAAAATGGAGGTGGAAAGATGGGGGTAGGGGGTTTAACCCGGAACCTTTTTTTTTTGATTTTTTAAAGAAGTAGGGGGGGACGTTTGGGGGAGGAGGTGTGAAAACGGGGTTCTCGTCGTTTTACTGGGTTTGTGAGATAGAACCAAAAAAGGGGCGAATTAGAGGGAGGATTGAAGAGGGTTTTTCTGGCCGAGGGACAGAAAAAGGAAAATTAGATACGGGATGAATGGGAGATTTCCCCCCCCCGGGGGGAAGGTTTGGGGGTGTGAAGATGGGATACCAAATTGGGGGGGACGTTTTAAAAAAACAGGGGAAAAAGAAACACGTGGGAGTCCCCCTTGGAGGCGGAAAATAAAGAAACTCCCTTTTTGGCCCATAAGGGAAAACCTTCTTTTCCTTTTTGAGGTAAGGGATTTCCCGCCTTTTTAAATAGACTTGACAAGGGGCAAAGAGTACGAAGGGGGGACCTCATGAAGTTAAGGCAAGAGAGAGATCGATTCCCAAGACGTATTAAAAATGGTAAACCCGGCACCACAGATGGGGCTTTCCCGGCATAGACCCTCAATATTTGCGGGATGGCCAAATCCCCAAAATTTTTCTACACTGTTTTTGGTGTAGGGACCCACCTTTCGAACTTGTAACCGATGTCCTGCTAAAAAAACTGGGGGGATGGGAGTTCTGGGTTTGTCAAAAGTTAAACGAGCCACATTGCGGGGTACGTCTCCGCCCGGGAAAGGAAGAAAAATAATTTGTTCCCCTTAGGTTTGGGGGAGATCTTGGATTTTCCCAGCGTTAAAGGGAAGTCAGTCCCACATGCCCCTGGAAATTTTGTTGAATTTAGGGATGGGGCAAAAATGACGGTACCACTACAAAAATTGGGGAAAATGATGTTTTTAAATGGTGACGGGAAAACAGTATCATATGGGAAAAAATGAGAGAGCTCAGGGACCCGGGTAGCTTTCGTACGGTAATGATGGGGCGAAAACCCCGCTTTTAAAGGAAAGAAAAAAAAATTATTTTTTAAAAACCAAACCCAATGGCGTAGGATTTGCCTTCCCATACTTTTTGGTCAAAAAGATGGGCCCAAAAGAGAAGTGGGGTCAAAAGTGAAGAAATTAGTCCCATTGTTCAGTCGGGAAACTGAGCGTGGAAAGGTTTGGGAAAGGACGGGGCAATCGTTTTAAAGAAGAACGAAAAGGTGGAGAAGTCATCAGCAGGTAATTGTCGTTGGTTTTTTGGGGCGGGGGACCAATTTGGGCCCCCGATGGGGGAAACGGGTCGGGGTTTTTGAAAAATTGCCGCACCATAGAGGGAGGGGCCGGAAGAAATAGTCAGAGGAGAGCGAAGGCCCGATAAATCAAAGGGAGTCATCGGGGGGGGGGCCTCGAAACCTGAAGGGGGTTGGGGGTAACGGGCACCCCGGCAATGGATACAAGGCATGAGGAGTTCGAAAGGGGTTTCCAAAGACGAGGGGGGGTCATAACGGGGTGCGGTATCAAAAAGGGGGCCCCGGGGGGGTATTTGGGTTAAAATGGACTAGGGCTCCCAAAGGTTGGGTTTTATTCTTTCTTTTTTTTTTAAGAACAAAAAAAAAAAAGAAGAAAAGAAAATAAAAAAAAAAAAAGAATAAAAAAGGGGGGAAAAGGGGGGGGGATTTTCCTAGGAGGAATTTTAAGGGCCCCGAAATTCCCCCCCCTCCGCGCCCAAGAGGACCTCGCAAAACCCCAAGTAGCGCAGATTTCGCCCTGGAACCCCTGCCATACCCAACCCCCATGCTAGTTTAAAATAACAATCCCCGGGTAGCAAACCCCACATCTGCCGAGCTACCTCGGGGGACAAAAAAAAAGGGGGCCATATCCGCTACAAAGCTTTCCTCCTTTTCTTTCCCCCACCCCCCAAATTTCCCAAAGGTGGCTTCCAGAGAACCCTGTCGCCCCCGCCCCCAAAAACCCAAAGTTCCCGGGGTACCCGGGGAGGGAACGGGGGCATCCCCAGGCATCCAGATTCCACGGGAAAAATACCCACCCCCAAGAAACCCCAAAAGGAAAGGGTTATTTGAACCCCCGGGATCCTTTCCCCCCCCCTAGGAATAGGGGCCCCTGTGGGAAAATCCCAAAACCCAAAAAAAGGGAAAGGGGAAAAAGGGAGGGGTGGGGAGGGGGAGGAGGGAAAAAAAAAAAAGGGGGGGATGGGAGGAAAGGGGTAGGGGAGGGAGTTTGGGGGGAAAATTTGGTTCGGTTGAAAGGGGAAGGACCGGGCAGGTTAAATTTCCCAGACCAAAACCCCTTCACCACGCAAGGAAACCCCCCCCTTAAGAGGACCCCCCCGTTTTTAGGGAGGAGGGATAAGGGGGGGGAGATTGGGGGGTAATTAAGGGGTTTGGTCTGAGGAAGAAGACCGACAGGTCTAAATTTCCCCAACCAAGAGGGCCCCTTCACCACGGGCCCAAAGGGGCCCCCCCCTTTAAGAGGGACCCCCAGTATAGTGTAAATATTTTCTCTGATGTTTTGGGCTAGAGAAAAAAGTTATTCTTGCTTTTACTCCCAAAAAGTCACCTAGGGTACCAAAATCCATATTTAACCCTGGGGACTGTTTCGGCCATTTTAAACGTTTTTACGAGGGGGTACTGTGGGTTTTTTCGTATATTTTAAAAACCCTAAATTTTAGACTTCCCGGATGGGTTTTTTTTTAAGGGCCCCAAAAATATTCAATTTTTCCCCCTTTCCAGTTGGGAGCTACACAGTAAAAGGTAGATGGGATTTCCCGGGAATAGAAAGCTTTAGGGAAAAAGAGGTGTGGGAAGGTTTTTTAAACTAAAAAAGGGAGGCAGTTAGGGGAAGATAAAACAGCTATTGGAGGGGTAATGGGCTAAAGAGAGCATAGGCAATGGGGTCGAAGAGGTATGGGGTTTGGTTTTTAAAAATGGGGAGGTTAGAGGTGAATTTAAAATTTAAAACATGGGGCAACTCTTGGGGATCTTTATTGAGGAAAAAAGGGTTTTGCCCCCAGTGGGTTCTCAGTCCATTTCGTAGGAAAACTTGAAGAAAGGAGGAGAAAGGGGGTTAAAACAGGCCCTCAACCCCTTTAGTCGAAGTTTCATCCAACAATCTTGGGAAAAATTTATGGGTGAACCCCATCGGCTCAAGGTTGAGGGGGGGATTACCTCATTCTCCCCTTTTTCTTTAAGTTTCTCCCCAGTATGGGGATGAAGCCCCCTGTGTGGCGAAACGTTTCCCCAAAAAGATACCCAAGGGTTTTCACATGTGTCTAATTTATTTAACATGTCGGTTTTTCTGAACCATTCATCTTCAAATAGGTTTTTAGGTGTTCCGAGAAGTTTGTGGTTACAGGAAAGTGGGTGCGGGGGGGAAAAAGGAGTGATTGGTGGAATGATGATGAAAGAGAAAAAAATAAGGGAGAAAGTTTTGCATATGAGAATTTTTTCCCAAAATAAAGTGATGCAAGGGGGAAGATTTTTTGGAAAAAGAAAAGGTTTTAAAGAGAGTTTGGGGAAACAAAGTTAAAAAGAGACAAATGAGAGAGTGGGTGAGATGTTTTTTCAACAAATTTTTTTTTGAAAATAAGAAAAAGTTTTGGAAATGAGATTAACAAATTAAGGAAACCCAGAGAACCCAAAAGGATTTGTCATTAAAAATTTGAAAAAGGAGAGTTTTTTAAATGGGGAGTTGATTTTTGGAAGATGGAGGGAAAAAAATTTTTAGGAAATTTTTAAATGTTTTTGAAGATAGGGAAGCCCGTGACTTCGTGAAAGGGGAAGGGGGAAAAAATTTGTGGAGTGAGGAAGGCCATTTGGTGTGGGGGAATTTTGTGAGGCAGTAGGTAAAATGAAAGGGGGTAAGGGACCGGGGATTGAGGGATAAAATGAAAAAGTTTTTAAAAACAGGTGGGGTAAGTTTTTGGGGGTGGGTTTGGGGCAGTTATTTAATAAATGTTGGAAAAAGGGGGAAGGTACCTAGGGATTTGGGAGGAGCATGCATAGTTTCCCTTTTTTAAAAAAGGGAAAAGGGGGGCAAAAGAGAGTGCAAAAAATTAAGGGGGGTAAGTTGTTGAGTTTAAAACCGGTAAAGTGTATGGTTTGGTTTTTTTATTGAAAAATTTAAGATTTAAAACGGAGAAAGGAAAAAGCAGATGAACAAGAGGCTTTAAGGGAAAAGGGAGGGGGTGTGTGGACCAGGGGTTTAAAAGTGAAACATATAAAATTTAACAGATTTTGATAAGGCTAAAAAAAGGTCTTTGTGGGATTTATGGGTTTTTAAAAAGGCGTATGACAGGGGGGATAGGGGCAATGTGCAGATGTTTTCAGGTGTTTTGGTGTTTTGGGGGTTTTAAAATTTTGGGGGGAAAACAGTGAAGAGTTTTTACGGGAAAGTGAGCTCAAGTTAGAGTAAGGGAGGAAAAGAGGGAAATTATTTTCCCCAAAAAAAGTAGGCCTTAGACAAAAGGGTGGTGATGTTCCCCCCGTGGTTTTTTTAATACATTATTTTTTAGATGGGGGTTGTAAAGAAAAAAAATGCAGGGTCTTTGGGAAAAAGGGGTGGGGTTTTAAAAAATAAAGAATCACCCCATAAATTTTGGATTCTTTTTTGGGGTTGTCACAGTGGGTCTTTTCTTTATAACACTGTCTCTTGGGAAAATTCTTTAAAGGGGAAGTTTTCCCGAGTTGGGGGATTGGGAAATTTTGTAGGGGGTGCAAAAGAAGGGAAAAATTTAAAAAAAGGGAAAACCCGGGGAAAAAGTAAGGTTATAGGATAACCAAAAAAATTTGGTGATGAAAGATTGGATTCAGAATTTGGGGGGAAAAGAGTAAGGGGGGTGAAAGTATTTGATTTTTTGGGGGGGACGTGTCAGCGGATGGGTCTATGAAGATTGATGAAACATTTGAATTTTGAAGGGAAAAGGGTTTAGGGGCAAAATTGGGGGGCTGTGGAACAAAGAGCTTTGTTTGGAGGCCCAAAAAAGGGGAAATTTTGGGGTATAGTTTTTTTCCAACGCTCTTTTATGGGGGGTTTAACAAGGGTGATGAAAGTTGCAGCAGGAGAAGGCTGGGGGGCAGTGGGGGTTCACGTCTGAGGGGGAATTGTGGGAGTGAATATAACCCGAGAATTCGTAGTTTTTGGGAATTTTTGGGGGGAGGTGCGGGATTACCAAAACTGTTGTCCAAAAGGGCGAGGAAGGGGGTTTTTGAGGGGTTCGGACATGTAAAAGGGGAAATAGGTAAACAGGTAAATTCAAGAGGGGTAACAGCCCATAGTGGAAGGAAGGCGGGGGGGGGGGTGGGCCCAGGGGAAAAGGGTTTGGGGGAGGGGGAAAGGGGTTTTGTGTGCGAGGGGCTTGGACTTCAGCAGGCAGGCATGCGTGACGTGTTTGAATAGGGAGTGAAATGGGGACAAAAGGTTTTTTTAAATATTGACGTGCTGGGTTTGGGGTTTTGGCAAAGTAACATTTATGAAGGGGTTTTAGGGAAACCCGGGACCGGACTTTAGTCCTGGAGTTGGGGGGTACATTGCCTGCACTCTGAAGGAGGGGGGTTAATTTTGCAGTTTAAAAAGTGTGTGTAAAGCAAACCCTTTTTGGGCCCCAAGGGGCAGGATGGAGTGAATTTATGGTTTAAAGGGTTTTTTTTTTTTTTCGGGCCCACCCTGCCTTTGGGGGGAATCGGGCCAAATTGGATATAAAGGGGGAATATCCAATTTACAAACCCCCTCTCAAAAAACTTCGAAAAAAAAAATTCATAAAAGAATTAAACCAAACCCCATCTCCCAAAACATTCTCAACCCCTTTCCAATTTGGATTCAGGGCCCAAAAAAAATACTAATTTATGCTATTATACACATGCTAGAACATATATACACTGCAATTTGAGAAAAAAGAATTTCCCCCTGGGGATCTTCAATTTACTTAAAGTAAAAACCCTTTTTATACAGTTTACCTTTACTTGTCCCCGTAAAATTGGGCCCCCCCCCCCAACCCATGGTATTTGGGGGGGGCACTCCCCAAGTCATAAACCCCAGCAACAAAGCCCGATTTGTTTTACGCAAAAAGGGGCAAGCTCTTTCCGCTCAACCAATTACGTTTGGGGTCCCCCCAGGGAAAGTGTCCTTGGCCCTCTTTTTCTTTCCCTATACATTTAAAAGACCACCAAATGCTTCGCAAATTTTTCAAACCCCACTTTTTCAGATGACACTACAATTTCGCTTCTCTCACCCGAGCCCAGTCACGCTAGCCAATACTTAAAAACCGAATTACAAAAATTTTTACCTGGATGAGGACAAACAAAAATTAAATAAAAAATTGACAAAACCTAATTTTATTCAGTTGGTTTAAAAAGGGGCTAAAAGATTTTACCCCTTAACTTAAAGAAAAAAAGATCACCTATACAAAAGCTAACAAAAGGGAAAATTCTTAGGATCCCCCTTGATAAAAGAACCAAAAATTTATACACCAAAACAACAAAATTTTTTAAGAAAAATTTCCCCAAGGGCGTAGGGATACCATCGAAGAACGGTTCATGTTTTTCCCCAGTCGCCCCCCCTTGGGCCCCTTTTTTACTCTTCCCTTTTTTACCCCGCTTTACCCTTTTGGGAAATTTTTTTCTTTTGGGGCCCCAACAACCAAATTTAAAACCCCCAGGAAAACTAATTACCCAACAAAAGGTGCATTTTTGAATAACAAATTCTCACTACAGGGAGCACACCCACCAATTTTTCCCAAAAAACTCAAACCCACTCACCATACCCAAAAAATCCAAAACTTATTACTGCACCTATTTCATACATAGAACACTTAACTTGATTTAACCCTCCCCTCAAACATCTCCCTTTCCAAACCCCAACAGAAAAAACCTGAAACCCTAACACAAGGGACAGATCATCCTTTTTATTTCCCCGTGCCATCTCAAGCTATGCAAAAAAACCTAATGCACATTAAAAAGGGCCCCAAAAAAAATTTGGGAAATTTATTACCCTTTTAAATATAAAAAAAACCCCCTTTCCTGGGTTTTAAAAATTTTAAGTCCTTCCAAAGATCCACCCGACTCAAAATCAAAAAAACCCAAAAAAATACTGGGAAAAACTGAAAACCCTTATAAAATTTCATACCAAATGTAAATCAAAATTTTATCACACAAAGTTAAACCTAAAGGGCCCAACAACTATTATTTTTTTTTTAAAAACCCCAAAAACCCAAAAAGAATACCCATTCGAAATGAATGTCAGCAAAGCCTCAAAAAAAAATGACCCCGTTTTGTAATACCCCACTTGTGCTTTATAGTTATCGGTTTTCAATAATGTTTTTTCACTGATTTCATCATTGGGCCCTTTGTTAAACTTAAGTTAATAATTTAAACCAGCCCAAAAGCTTTTCAAATAAGGGGTTTTGGGATGCTGCTCTTACCTGTATTTTTTTGTAAACCCCTGTATGTATTTCTAAAAAAGTATGCTAAATGCTAAATTTTGGGGGACTACCGAGAGAAAAATA